TGTTGTTAAATCAACATTCAAACCATTTAAAGAATTTTCAAAAGTTTTATTAGTTGTGCAATAATTTACGTTTCCAGTACGTTTAAAAAATATCATGTCTGTAACAAGCGCGTCACACTTAAAATATACTGGTTCTCTTTACGTCTGCTGTCTATAACAAAATGCACTGCTGTTAAATTCCTATTGCTCCAAAATCTTGAGTAAAACAGAACACGGTTACTTTCCCTTCAACACCTACTGCGTGAAGACGATGCCTACACATTAGAATATATCATATAATGTTATACCATCAAATAAAGGGACAGATTTGTTCTTCATCAAATGCTGCTCCTCAAAAACATTATTATCACAAAGTGAACAGTGACTAAGATCATCAAACTACAGCAGTGAGCACTCAACACACAGATCATCTAAAGTGTAAAAACTGTGCACTGGATACAGCAGCTACCGTGAGTAGCAGTGGTCGTATGGCACGTAATACTTGAGACAGCATTTAGAAACATCTGTCCAGATGTGGAGACGACACCGTGGGGCACCTGGACGACGAGGGCTCGGAGCCAGAGACAGAAAATTACTCATCAAATTAAAAAAAAAAAGAAAAGTTTGTTCGTATAAAAGTCACAAAGCTGGAATGTGACGGGGAAAGTGGGACATTAAAACATGTCTGCTGCTAAAACATCTTTTCCTCATTTCCCACAGAGTCTGATCGAAACAGATCTTTAGCCGACACACGACGACATCGAGGAGTAAAGAAGATATTCGAAAACCATACATCAGTCGATATTTTTAATAAAAACATAAGTAATCGTTTCTAAGATGTCGTTATCAAACTCTCATGACACAGAAATGTAAGTGAGGTTTGATATTTAACTGTTTAACCATCAACTTTAGTATAAATATCTATAAACAAAACACAAATACAACTAAATATATAGAACGTGAATGAAGCAAATGAACATTATCAACAGCAGAGCACATCTGTTCTCTATAGTTTATTCTGTTGTACAAACGAATGCTGACACTGTGAGAGTCTATTATCGGTTCGTGTTTTATCGGTCGGGCTCTAACTTCCAGACGTTTTGCTCGACAGCAGGAAATTTAGTCAACGTGAAGCTTCAGGAAGTGAACTGGGTCCCGTCGGTGGCTTAAATATCGAACCCGCGTCAGTAAAAAGCTCCTTCATCTGCACAGATGTGAACATGAAAAGAAAAAAACTGCGTCTGCCGGTTTGTTCAGAAGGTGCCGACTCGACTCTGGCTCCGAGCCCGTGAGCTGGGGTCGGGGAATCTGTTTGTCTACCTCCTCTGTCTCCGTGATCTGTCTACACACAAAGAGCTCGTCTACTTTGTTGACTCATCAGAGTCTGGACACACTCACAGTGACGGTGGATTTCACAGAGTTTGTTCAGTTGGAGTCCTGCACCTCCGCCGCCGCCGACGCCTCATCGCCGACACTTGACTCTTCCTCATCTGGAAGAACACGAAGAAGACACTTAGCTCAGCAAATCTTTCAGACAGACTTTTACAGATCTCACAGTCGTCCTCACCTGCAGTTTGTTCCTCCGGGCTCTGTCTCTCAGCCTGAGCGTCCGGAGAGCTCGGCTCGTCCGGCGGCCAGCGGAGCTCCCCGCTCTCCACCTCGGCTCCGTCCATCGGCTCCACCACGATGGAGGGAAGCCTCTTGGACAACTTGGGAAACCTTTCATGGGAGTCTGGGAAGATCTGGTGAAAGCTTATGTAAGGTTAACGTCTGGGGTCGGGGGGGGAATCAATCGCACAACATGAGAAAGAACAACAATGCGGTAAAAATGGGATTAGAACTTCGGTCAGTGTTAATCTGGAGCAGATCAGCAGCTGTAAAGTCAGATGTGCTTTTACTTTCTGTTTTCTAATTAAATCAAATCTGAAATGATCTGAACGCATTGTTGTCAACAGTGATCTGAGCCAGACTCTTACAAAATGACGTTCACTCGCACACTGTGTTTATAAAAACAAACCTTTGCCGTCGGACACGATAACTCACCCCGGTGTTTACGGCTCAGCTGCTGGAGACACGTACCATTTACTCACAGCAGGTCTGAGGACTAATGACCTCGGTTGTGTCAACTCACATTTCCCTCGGGCTCGTCGCTCTCGTGACTCAACGCTCTCCACTCGAAAATGAAACACAAAGAAGAAAAGACCGACGCTCTGATTTCACTCACACCTGGAAGGATACCGGTCCCTCGTCTTCCCCTGCTCCCCCCCCACTGAAGTCCTCCGTCCCGGGCTCCAGAGAGTTCATCACCTCGGTCATCCTGGAGGAAAACACACGATGATCGTCACAGATCAACAGAGCATCTTTTTCTCTGCTCCCTTTTTATTTTATTTTTGTCTTGAGTCAACACGTTAAATATTCATGGTTCTTTTTTTCCGTGGATTTCGCTCAGAGTCGATGGATTCCTGCAGGTACGAGGGTCCGACTCTGGTTTGCTTCTGTTAATTGAAACATCACAGATCTAAAAAAATAAAAAATCTGTAGCACCAGTGCATTAAAATAAAAAACAGGAACTTCTTTTATCATCTAGTTTGTTTTAATCAGTGGATGTCACCACTCACATACGTCTGGCTCATGCTACACTACCTAGTCCAGTCTCACAGTCCAAAGTCATGCACATTAGCTGCAGACTCGTACATGTGTTCATTTTATTTTTCTTTATATCTCAGTCTTGGCTGTGATACGTTGGCGACACCCTGCACCGTGTGGTAAAGATGACGGACGGATGTCTTCTAGTGATCAAAACACATCGAGCAGTTCCGCAGCAACATGATAATTCACTTGAGGTTTTGCTTGTGTCCTCCTGGTTGATCTACAAACCAACCTTCCACCTCTTGTTGCTCTGTTTTTGTTCTCCACCAACTCCCAAAGGAAATATCTCGGTCTTTTCAGCTGCTAAACGCTCTGATGACGTCTCACCCTCTTGAAGCAACTTACGCAAAGCGACCGACTGACACAAGCCACATTTTAACATTTTCATTTTGTGGTTTTGCTTTTGTTAAAAATGGAATTAGGTGCAGCTTTCCCTCGTGGTGTTCACAATCATTTTACACTGATTCGATTGTTGAAGTAAAATTAGTAAAAATATTCTCCAGCAGTCTAATGACGAGCCAACAGCGCCCGTCCTCTGTGCACTAGTGACAATCAGACTTGTGACAATTTTTCAGAAACGCCACTTTCCATAAAATCAGACTGGCAGTTGCTGTTGCCATGGGGACGAGCGTTTGAGATTTTACGCCTGTGATTGTCGTGCACTTTGCCTGAGTGCACGACACTGAGAGCTGATTTCGGGGGTATTCATGTGTGGCCTTACGCAGTAATTACCGCCGCCACGACGGGCTCCGCGTTGCTGTTTAGACTTCTTTTCCGTGAAACCTGGAATTGCTTCTGCCCAAAGAGACAATAGAGCCTTTATTCCTCATCAGAGGCTGGCATCGTTCCTCTGGAGGGAATCTGTGCGGCCACTCCAGAAACTCCAATCTCTGCTTTAAAGAAGAAAAAGGGCTCAGCTGCTCTGAAGGTGGAGAGGAGGCCGGCGTCACTGCACACGACTTCAGCCCGATCGTGTTTCTGAGACTCTGCGCTGATGTGAAGCGTAACAGACACAAGGATTTCAATGTTGGTGTCAGGCGTGAAGCTTCAGTCTTTTCTCCTTCAGACGAATAATAATTCCTAATTTGAGCCATTAGGTGTGAAGAAGTTTACCCATGTGTTAACGACTGAGTGTTTACAGGAAGACGCTTCACTCGCTTCTCAGCAGAGAAGTGAAATAGGTCACTTATCTCTCTTTACATGTTGTGAGCAGCGCCCACTCAGGTATGAACCATTAGGAATAGAATCAAGAAGCTTTGTCCCGGTGTAGCTGTGTTTTGAGCCGTGCTGCATAAATACAGTTTATTATCTTATCCTGGATTCTCTCAGCTCCTTCGAGAAAAAATCAATTAAGTGAAGATTTCATTTGATTCATTAGATGTTTCTCGATTAAGGCACTGAAACGCATACAGTTGATTTCATATGTGTTGCACTGAGTATCAGACCGTCTGCACTAGTTTGCCTCGTGGTCCAGCAGGGGGCGCTGGAAAGTAATGCAAGTCGATGATAGTACATCGATTTGGAAGTTGTTTGGGTTCCGCGCTGTTAGCGTTAAAACAAAGACGAGGGAGTTTGTCGACTTAAAGAAAGAAAAGAGATGCGACTGTTGCAAACGCCCGTCGCTGCCCATTTACTTCATACTTCTGTTTCCTTTACGTTGGCATGGTTGTTAAGCAATATGTCCACTAGAGGGCAGCGCTTCTGACAATAACAACGATAGCGGTGGAGGAGGTTGAGATAATGTTCCTCAGTTTGTCCCTGAGCGAAGTGACATCATATCCTGTAGGTTCGTGGCTCAGGTGAACTCTTCAGGTATCTTATCAAAAAGCTCAGTCTCCGTTGAATTTTCTATCCTGACTCGATCGGCTACACTGCCCCTTGTGATTTCCTGCGGTACTGCTCGTAAGTTTCATCCGTAAGTTTTCAGAAGACGCGCACGAATGAACGCAGAAAAAAGGTGACTTGACTGTAGTGTAGGTCCATGTTAACAGATGGGACATGGAGCTAATTAAAAAGTCAAGATACCTGCTGAATACATTTTTCTCAAAGATGGTTTCTGTCATTTTCAATATGTTCAAGTGTTTCTGATAAGTTGTTCATTATGTTGTAGCATCGTTATGATCAAAAACATCAACTTCTATTTAAAAAGTCTAAATCAAGTTGAATTTAAATGATTAATTGATTCTTAGATCTGTCAGTAAACAGGTTTCCTTTCTATCAGTCTTGGATGATAAACTGAATGTCGTTGATTGGATTAAAATAATGAATTCACATTGGGTTAAAGGAAATGGGTCAGACACACTTTACTTCTTTTACAATTAAACAGACTAAGAAACATTCAGCAGATTGATCAGTAATTAAAATAATCAGATGCAGATCTAGAATCCACTATAAAAGCCAAACTCCCACAGAATCACTGAATGACAGATGTGCGTTTGCAGCCAGATGCAGTGTAAAAATCTGACGTCCCCATAAAACACACTCAGATCTCCAGATAAGTCCTGAGCTGACAGCCACCGTCTCCTCACATCCTCGCTGTCTCCTGTTCGGAGATGTGCATCTGGTGTGACCTCACGGATTAAAATTCCTCCTCTCTCTTCTCTGTCCATCATGAGATTCATCACTGTGGATTCTGTCCAGTTAAAGGGGCAGCGGATCCCAAACCTGGCGTCCTCCGGCAACGCTCGTCTATCTCCAGGTTTTAAAACAGATTGATTCTAATGAATTCCAGGAACGATTCTGCCTCAGACACGTTCTCCTTTTCTGCTCCACATCCTCAAACGCAGGTTACGTGACTAAATAAGTTTTTACAGCCCAAGGACAATAAAAAAATCAAATCTAGAGCCGACAATAGAGAGAATTCTTCCTTTCTCACCAAGAAGCCATTTAAAAATGATCCACTGCTCCGTTTCTCTTGACTTTAGTTCAATTCCTCGCCACCAAATCCACATTTCCTCCTCTATCATTTCACTTCGATGCACTTTGCTTAAGATCAAATAGAACAGAAACTTCATGCATTTTAAATAAATGTTGTGTTCAGGTGCGTGGCAGAGGTTTACCTGCAGGCACACAACAGGTATAGTTTACTGCAGGTAGCAGAAGGTATAAATAGATTCAAGTATAATAAACACGGCTTCTGCTCCACCTACACCTCCACAGGCTGATTCCTGCAAACAGTCCCACACACCGAGCATCACAAGGTAAAAACAGGTTTCAAGGGTTTTTCTTAAGACCTCTGAGCTGCAGTTTTAAAAATTCAATTTAGAAAAAAAGTAAAGAAAGCAGATTCAGCTCCAGTGTTGGAAATAGAGGATGAAGGTTGTGTCAGAGTGGTGAGAATGAAATCAAAGCTCAGTACCTGTCTGTGGGCTGATCCAGTGTCTCAGACCAGGAAGGTCTCTGTCCTCCGCTGCTTCATCACACTGATGCTGCTGAGGATGAGGAGGAGGAGGAGGATGCTGCTGAGGATGAGGAGGAGGATGATGATGGTGCTGCTGTGGGCGACAGGCGGATCCACCGGTGAAGTTGCATCAAAGTGTTCAGAGCCTGCGCACTGGAGAGGGACCTGTGCTGCTTTCAAAGACTGTGGGAAACTGCCTGATTGTGAGTGTGAAATCCAGGGGAGGTCACGTTTTGCAGCCAATTCTAACCCCTGACCCTCCAAACCTGCAGATTATTGAACATATTAACCTCAACCTTTCTTTCTTTAACTGTGTTTCAAGCATTGAGCTTTATGTGATTCATTTCTTTCTCACTCGTCTTATTGAACGCAGTATTCTTTACATCCAAGTGCTAAAAACCAGGTCGACCGGACTCGGCTGAGTTTCTTGAAGACGTTTCACCTCTCGTCCAAGATCACATCTTCACTTTGCTCATTTTCGCATCTGATTCGTCTGAAGTGCCGTGAGTCCATCTCAGAAAGTCCAGCGGTGACTTACTCATCAGAAAATGGCTCCATGCTGTAATAATACATCATCATTTATTGGTTGATTACACTTTGGTTGTTGGTTTTGCATTAAAGTCCGAAGCTGCAAAGTAACCGGTGTTGTCAGGTTAATGTCGAGGAGTAAGAAGGACGTTTTACAGTAGCAGAAAATGAAAATACACAGGTGAAGTGTACAAATACTACTGAATTGCACAAGCGTAAACTAGCCTACTCGAGTGAAAGTGCTTAGTTACTTAGAGTGTTTAACTCTGAATTTATACCTGGTGAGTGATAAAGAAATATTTCCATTCTCAGACTGGTTGTCAGGAAACTCGTGGCAGAGTCAGTTTTAGTTTTAATCACCCGATTTAAAAAAAAAACACATCTCCTGACTCGTTTCGAAGGTAGAATTTACGAGGTGTCCCTGAAAGCAGCACCCAATCAGAAGTCAGCCGAGCAGCCGTTGCTGTTTTTAAATCTGCGTGACGTCACACGCTGACTCTGTCAGGTAACGTCACTGAACTTTGAAACTTTTTTGTTTGTTTGGACTCAAACTGGAACTTGATGCTGACGTCACAGATTTTAACCTTGTAACGTGGGTGTGAAGCTCGTGAAGATTTGGGGCGGAGTCAGGACCTGAGACGTACAGAGGCTGGAACACAGCTGCACGTGACGCAGGAAGTGCAACAGCTCAAAGTTCTGATTTCTGCCTCACGTGGACTCCAGGGTAATTATTCAGAAGGGTCATCAAAGCACTGGGTTGAATTTCTGACTAAATATCACGAACGATGCTCATAAAGTTTGTTTTTTACAAACAATCTGCTGCTGCACAAAGTTATATGTAATATTAGAAATAATACATCTCAGATGTTGTGGAGCAGAAGTATAAAGTGGTACAAAAAGTGAAATACTCCAAGTACAGTTGATCACCTATACCATGCGCAGTATTATACATGTATTCATTTACTTTACATCACTGCCCACAGGTAAATATAGACATGTTTTACTTTAAGCTAAATAATAATTCACATTTAGTTTTATTGTAAGAACACTGTGATGGTTCACTTGTGAACTATGTCTCCCTCTAGTGTTCAAATACATGCATACATTAGATGATAATGTACTTTTATATATACTTTTAGTCATTTTATATTCTCAAATCAGGCATAGCTGGAAGGAACAATATCTATAAGGCAAGTTTCACCAAATCTGATGGCACTAAAATGTTTAAAGACAAACTTAACTTCCATGGATCCATAAAAAACAGCCTCTGAGGCCAAAGAGATTTAAGAAAATAAGAATCTGTCCATCAACACCTTGTTGCTTATTATAGTCTTTATTTATTTATTGTGTATAACTCTGCTAACACATCAGGTTAAAGCCTATTCGGATACAAACAGGAGCAGTAAACAAATAAAACTCCAGAGGTCCTTGAAAGCTATTTACAAAGCCAGTTCAATATTCCCACTTTATACAGTGATAATAAAAGAAAACATAATATAATCATTTTATTGTAGCAAATTAGGTTCTAAGTAGCAAAGTATTAGTAAAAAATATACTTGCAGCTGCAGTACAAACATACGTGTTTCATTTCAGCTTTGCATTGCTATGGTTTCTTTACATTTGAGCTATTTAAGAATATCTTGGTGATACATGTACACATTCCTTTTTTTGTTTGTTTTACATTTACTGCACTGGTGTATTGAAGGTGTTTTCTACTGTCAACTAACTTTACAGTGATATTATTGTAAAAAGTCTGTGGAATGTCAGTAACATTGATTGATTTTTGCAGCTACCACTTTTAAATGAAATGCACAGTTTGTTTATCATCGGATTAATAAGAGTTCCGTTTAGAAATGTACATTAAAAAGTATGAAACCACAGAGATTTGGTTCAGAAAAGCAAAAGACAGAGCTTAGTTTAGTAATATACCATAAGCAAACATATCGGTGAAGCCCTGTCATCATTTGCACTAAGGTACTTCAGTTACTCTGCTTGTTAACGTGATCACATTGTCATAGTGACTCGAATGAATCCATCACTTCAGAGGTCAACAACATGCAACCAGTGATCGAAGTTAACACCAGAGTTTAACTGTAAAACTACCTTTTCCACGTTTTCCTCTCTCGTGAACATGACCAGTGAAATTTGTTCCCCACCAACCATGTTTACACATAATTTACAATTTCTTTCACTTCTCGGCTCCGTCAAAGAACCTCATTTTCTCCGAGTGCACAGAGTCTCTCAGTCGCTGGATGGATGTGGCCGTCTCACCTGAGATGGGTTCAGAGGAGTCGAATATACGTGTGATTTGTTTCGTTATAACGATCGTTTCTTTGCTTTCGCTTCTTTCACTTGATGTTCCTCGAACGATGTGCCGCTCAAAGACCGTCCTCCTGCCGCCTTGTGGATCTTCAACCGTCCACGAAGCAGCTTCCTCACCCTCCGATTGGAGGGGAGGGCCTCCAGCTGATTGGACTTGAACAGCAGTTAGCAGCTTGGCATGCTGTGACTCTGGGGTTGCTTGAATATTTGATGTAATGACGTGTATTTTTCCAGATTCCAGTCTGAGCGTGTCTTCTGACGACGAGGAAACTCCAGACGACAGGATGGTGATTTTCTCAGGCAAGTTCGGCTCGACCGAAATCAGCTCAGTCCTTGTGGTCGAAGTAATGACGCTGCTGTGCATCTCTTCGAGGCTCGGAGCAGCATCGGGATCAGAGTATTTGACAGTAACCTTGGTTGGAGAAGATATGGACAGGCCAATGTGCTCACTTGTCATTGTAGAGCTGATGTCAGCAAAAGCATCTGATGACTGGACAGAGCAGGTGGGGCTTATTTCCTCATCCCCTGTTTCGGGGGTCTTTCCATCCTTGTGCTCATCTTTTTCAGGCATCTTGGCAGATTCTGACGGGGAGGACAGTCCAAACTTGGGGAATTTAAACCACCCTGTCCTCTCGGGACTTTTGGGAGTATCTAGCTTGGTAGTTGTTTCCTTTTCCTTTGCATCTAACTCCTTTCCTCTGGGTTCACTTGTCTCATGAACTTCCTTCGAGGCTTTAAGATTTTCTTCCTCTGTTTTTGAAACATCAAATTCCACATCAATATTCTTGAGGATTTCACCAAACGATGTCAAAGTCAGCTTTGGGGATTTAGTCTCTTCTTCTCTTTCTGGCTGATCTTCTTGGCCGTCGCTGTCACCGTGTTCTTCTTCAGGTTTGGATTTTGAGAAACTCAGCTTCGGCATTTTAAATGTTGGTAGTTTGAATCTACTTGGAGATCCATGACTCACACCGTCAGTCTCAGTCTTTGGTGTTTCAGAATCCGTTATTACTGCTTTGGGTTCAGTTTTTATATCAACACTTGGAGCTTTAATCTCGACGGTAACATCCTCAAGTTTAGCTGCATCTTTTTCAGCTTTGTCCACATCAGGCGTTTCTACAGTGACATCGTAGGAAGCACCTCCGAATTTCGGCATTTTCTTTGTTGGCATTTTAAACTTTAATGGGGATCCTCCAACATCTTTCTTCTTTGCATCAGCCTCCACATTAGAAGAAGATTCCTTGTCTTCAACTTCAGGGAGTTTGACTTCTGCTTTGACGTTTGGCAGTGTGACCTCTACATCTCTCTGTGATGCATTTAAATCAACTTCAGGTCCTTCTGCTTTTGGCAGTGCAATTCCAAACTTTGGAAATTTAAACTTGCTTCCTTGCACGTTGAGTTGATCTTCAAGCTCAGGAGCTTTAATTTCCATTTCAGGTTGTTTGACTATAACCTCTCCTTCTGGAAGAGAAACATCAACCTGTGGAGGCTCAGCACTGATCTCAGGCATTGTAACACTTGACTTTGAAAAAGAAAATTTTGGTAATGAAAATTTAGATTTTTTCAAGTTTCCATCAAGTTCGACAGCAGGTGGCTCTTCCACAGGAACCTTCCCTGAAGGTTCTTTGACTTTGACATGTGGGAGGCAGACTTCAGCTTCGACCTCCGGGGATGCAACATCAGCTTTTGGTGTTTCAAGGTTGACATCCACATCAGGGGCTTTACCACTTGTTCTTGAAAATGAAAATTTTGGAAATGTCCAGTTTGGTCGTTTAGACTTGGCCTCGGTCTCAACTGTCTCAACGGCACCTTCAGGTTCTATGACTTCAGCACTAGGCAGTGTGACCTCAACTTTACCTTCTGGTAATGTGACATCTGGACATTTCTTGGATAAGCTCAGATCTATATCAGGCCCCTTAACTTTTGGCACTGTGATTCCAATATGTGGCATTTTAAACTTGCCTTCCGATGCCTCAAGTTCACCTGCTTTAGCTTTCATATTTACAGATAGGCCTTCAGCATCGATGCTGGGGGCTGTGACTGTCACCGTAGCTCCCTCTTTAAGTACTTCCAGCTTTGCATCATCAATTTGAATGTCTTTGTCCACATCAGGTACTTGCACACTAACCTTTGGAGTGGAAGCTCCAAATTTTGGTAATGTGAATGTTGGCATTTTCAGTTTTGATGGTGATCCCTCGACATTACCCGCTTTAATCTCAGCAGCCTTAATTTCCACTTTGCCAGACGGTTGCTTTATTTTAACATCTGGAAGCTGAACCTCAGCCTCAGCTTCTGGGAGTGTGACATCTCTATCTTTCTTTGATAAGCTTAAATCAATTTCAGGACCTTTTACTTTTGGCATTGAGATTCCAAACTTTGGCATTTTAAACTTGCCTCCTTGTCCATCGATTTCTGCTTCACACTCAGATGGTTTTATATCCACTCCAAGTTTAGGACCTTCTGGGATTTCAACCTCAGTCTTGGGTTGTATCACATCTACATCTTTCTTTGAGAGGCTTAAATCAATATCTGGTCCCTTTACTTTTGGCATTGAGATGCCAAACTTTGGCATTTTAAACTTGCTTTCCTGCCCATCTAGTTTGACATCACCTTCTGGTGGCTTAACATCCACCTCAGATGGTGCAACTCCCACATTTCCTTCTGGAAGAGAAACATCTACTTCTGGAAGACTGGCATCAACTTCAAGCTCTTTTGAACTTTGCTTTGAAAATGAAAATTTGGGCATTGAAAACTTTGGCTTTTTCAATTTGGCATCAAGGTCTATATTAGCTGCCCCTTCTACTGAAATGCTTGATGATTCTTTGTCGACATCTGGAAGACGTACCTCTGCTTTGACCTCTGGTAGTGAAACATCAACTTTTGGGGTATCAAGGTTCACCTCAGCCTCAGGGCTCTTAATGTTTGTCTTTGGAAATGAAAATCTTGGTAATGTCCAGATTGTCTTTTTCACTTTTGCATCACCCTCTGCCATTGGTGCTTGTGATACTGATATTGAACTCTGAACTGGCTCTTTGATTTCGACATCAGGAAGTTTGACTTCAGCTTTTGCTTCTGGTAATTTAAAATCCTCCCCATCCACTTTAATGTCTTTGTCCACATCAGGTACCTCCACACTGATCTGTGCTGTAGAAGTGCCAAATTTGGGTAATTTGAATGTTGGCATTTTAAACTTTGATGGTGATCCTTCAACATTACTTGTGTGAACTTCAATTCCAGGAGATTTAATTTCCACTTTGGCCGATGGTTCCTTTACTTGAGCTTCAGGGAGCTGAACATCAGCTTTAGCTTCTGGTAATCTCACATCTACACTTGTCTTTGCTAAGCTTAAATCAACGTCAGGGCTTTTGACTTGAGGCACAGAAAAACTGAGACTTGGCAGTTTAAACTTACTTCCTTTTCCTTCACGTTCAGCTGCTGTAGTTTTCAGATCTATTGATGGACCTTCAGTATCAATGCTGGGCGCTGAAATGTCAACTGCAACAACCTTTTCAGGGATTTCAATGTCACCTCCATTGATTTTTACATCTGTGTCCATATCAGGTACTTCTATGGTGGAACTTGGAGAGCCAATTCCAAATTTAGGTAATTTGAATGTTGGCATTTTATATTTCGATGGTGATCCTTCTGTGTCCTTTGTTACAACTTTGATCTCAGGAGGTTTGATTTCCACCTCAGCAGAAGGTTCTTTCAGATCAACATCAGGGAGTTTGACTTCAGCTTTGGCCTCTGGTATTTTTACATCTACATCTTTATTTGATAAACTTAAATCAAACTCAGGCCCTGAAACCTTTGGCAATGAGATGCCAAACTTTGGCATTTTAAACTTGCTTCCTTGTCTGTCAATTTCTGCTTCTTCCTCTGGTGGTTTCAGATCCACTTCCCCTCCTTTCACTTCCACCTTTCCTTCTGGGAGTTCAACATTCACATTCTGAACACTGACATCAACTTCTGGGGCATTAACACTTGATTTTGAAAAGGAAAACCTGGGCAGTGAAAACTTTGGCTTTTTCATTTTTGCATCTACCTCAACCCCTGGCTGTTCGATCACAACACCACCCTCTTTGACTTCAACCTCTGGCAGGGAGACCTCTCCTTTAACTTCAACATCTGTGTTTGGCACAGATATGTCAGCTCCATCAATCTTGATTTTGTGTTCTGTATCAGATACTTCAGCGCTGACATTTGGAGTAGAAACTCCAAATTTGGGGAATTTAAATGTCGGGAGTTTGAATTTTGATGGTGATCCTTTCATACTGCCTAACTGAGCTTCAACCTCAGGACCTTTCACCTCCACTTTAGTAGAAGATTCTTGTAGTTCAACATCAGGGAGACTGACCTCTGCTTTAGCTTCTGGTAGTGTCACATCTACGTCTTTCTTCGATAAGCTGAAATCAATTTCTGGTCCTTTTACTTTTGGCATTGAAATTCCAAACTTTGGCATTTTGAACCTGCTTCCATGTCCGTCAAGTTCAACTTGAGTCTCTAAGGGTTGCATTTCCAGTTCAGGTTTGTCAACCTCCATCTTTACATCTGGAATTGAAACTTCTGCTTTTCCAAGCTTAACGTCCATTTCTGGGGCTTCTGGGAGTTTAAACTC